CAGTTATACTTCACACATCGAAACAGTGCAGCTAGCCTTTCAAACAGTCCAGCTAGCCCAAAATCCAATGCATAAAACATTCACACATCAACACATCCAACGTCTTCACGCAGACCCCTGCCGGCAGGGCATTCTGCCATGCATTCAACAGAGCCAGTCAAAGTGATGACCTCCGAAATAAGAATGCAGCACAAAAGACGAGCCTCCTCAGCATGCTTGAGCCCAGTTTAAGCCTTGAGTCTGTCTGTTTTCCCCTCTCTGCCACTGTCTGCTGCTGAGTTAGTATTCAGCACTCTGCCAGGCAGGCTAAGCTTCTCCAAGGGAGCCCTCTGCTGTCAATAAGCACCAGATGCTTTAACGAAGGTTGCTTCTGCTCCCTTAACTCCTCTAATATACTCAAATGTATTCTCCCGCAAAGCCCTGCAGTGCTCTGCCATGGTCTGGAAAACCAGAAGTACACACAGCTAAGCGGTTTGGAACCACTAGGCAAGGAACCTTCAACAATCACAGGATAAGAGCATTTCTGTTTTGAGGAAAACATAAAAATGTTCATTAGAAAATGTTTTAGAAGGCTGGAAAACTTGTAGTTCAAGAATGCACCAAAATCATACTTACAGGAACATTCAGTAAAGGCATGTGAATGTGAACGTCACCTTTTTGTTGATGTTATGTTGGTTTTCATTCCAGAAGAAACGTGAAAGAAATATGAAATTTCCTCTAACATGGAGTCAGCCGCTGCAATCAACGACAGACACTTCTCCTACATTGTTTGCTACCGCAGCTGTGGACATGACAACAGTCGTCGGGAGATGAAGGCGCGTTTAGTAACACATTTCAGTTCTCCGCAATTTCCTGCTTTTCCATTTCTGTCACGGAATCGTCATGTCTCTTTGTACATCACTTGGCGTAGTTACAATCTCTTCATCCTTATTGCCTCTTCCATATCATGTGATTGTTCCTGCCACCTTCTCAAGAGAAAGCGCTCGAGAGCACTTCCAAAAATAAGGCCATAAATAAGAAATCACAGGCTTTTTCTGCCCTTGTGCATTACGCAGCTCTGATGAATACGTTCAGTGTTATTATTACTCACTCCGCTCAAATCAGTGCTCAAATCTTTGCCCTGTAATTGATTCCCCCGTAGTCCAACTCACACTGTAAGTGAATTAAGTCGTGGAAGAATTGCAGTTGCATAAAACAAGGAAAGGAAGAAAACACATGTACCCTGCTGTCTTAATGGCATGCTGTTGTCAGCAGCAGCGTTGTTAAGATAAAAGGAAGAGGATAATAGGGTTTCTTTATACCTTTGGATTGAAATTGCCTTTAAAGGACTCATTTGTATTCTTTAAGGAAAGAGTTCTCAACTTTTTTGAGCTATGTTCACCCCACCACCCCTAAAAAATGTAGGTTGAGCTTTGTGAGCACCTACCCTGAAACACACTTTGACAACCTTTTCACATTTCCACTCTGAAGCATGCTGTAAAAAATAATGTACTATAAAATTACAGTACTTATCTGTATTTCTGAAAACTGTTGATTACTGTGATTGAAAATTTTTCTGCACCCCAGTAATTCTAATGTACAGCTCATATGTGCTTTAATGTGCCCGCATAGCTTTCTGAAGGACCTCAGTTTGGCTATAATGTGTACTATGTACATGCAGACTGTTAAGACAACAGCTCGATCACGTTAAAGCAGTTACATGTCGATCATTAAAGCTGCACTATACACTAAAGACTTTTCTAAAATTTGGTGTGTGTGCGCCGCTGCAAGTTGCCTTGTAGCGCCTGTAGTAATAATTTCAAAAACAGAGGTATCGGGTTGGATAGTTTTTGGAGTTTTTGGACCATATATGAACATCGTATGCACAGGCTCAAAAAGAATCAAGATCAAGCTGAATGTTTAGGTCTCACATGCAAAAACAATATTATATTTTTGAAGATATGATGAAAATGGTAGTTCCCTTACAAATTATCAAATTCCTCTGCTCAGCGAAGGAGTCTGAAGCACAACAAACATCACAAACTATTCTCCTACTTGCATGCTATTACACATTTTCACCAGAGAGCTCTCCAAATCCCCAAAACTTACCTAGTGTAGCATTAAGAGTACAAAGACAGCAGTAACCAAATACCTGTTATTCATAACGTAATGGGACAAACTATTTAACTGAAAGACAAAACACCATGTTTGGAAAACCAATAAAAAATGTAAAATTAATTCAAATGTATGTTTGGGGTAACTGAATTGCAGATCACTACAGTATTTCAAAACAGGCTGCTCAAGACTGCACAAAGTACCGGTCACTTTCCCAATATGCTTTGCAAATAACTAACTACAACTAATTGCTGTAAAATGCAACATTTTAACCTCTTTGGCAAGAAGCTTAGCCTAATTTCTGCAACAGGCTGAAAATAGCTGCCAGGATAGCTGGGCTAACTTGGCTAAGTGCTGCTACATGCGACCCCCACCATACCAGTTACAGACTTTGATTTGCTCAGCTGATTCACTTGTATAGCCACTCTCTGTTTTTGCTTGCAGTGATGAGGTGATATGATTATTGTGGAAAATGTTCTGAGAAATTCTCAAAACTGTTATCAAAAATAGAGACCTATGACAAATATTCTTCTACCACTTACAATTATCACTCAAAATGACCTACCCTGTGGTGACCCCATAGGTTGAGAACCACTGCTTTAACCACTGAAACGAGCAAAAAAATTCTTGGAAAAGTAAGAATTTTAAACTTGCAATCCATAAAACATTTGTATGTATAAGTAAAGCAGAGATATTTTCTCATACGTTTTATGAGATGTTATTGTTGTACATATAGTTTCGCATTGTATCTTTCAGTTTTCTATGCTTTTGTCATTTCTTATCATTGAAACGATCAAAAATAAGTTGAAAGTGCAGACTAGCAGAGGAGGGTAAAGTTCAGCAACCTCGCTGCTGGGCTTTGGTTTAATTAGGGGCATCATATGCCTTCAAAGAGGGGGGGGGTGAAATTATTTATTATCGCCCACCCCTAATTCTTCAGTGATATGAAGCTGAAGTCAGCTGTTCACCAGCTTTCCAGTTCCACCTTAAATGGAGCACCAGTTCCGATGCCTCAGGTAACTGCTGCACCATTTAAGGTGGAAAGGGAAATTTAGCTAGCTAGCTACTGAGACGTCAGCATACCACTAGCGATTTGTGCTTGTTATGAAGAAAAGGACCTTTTCAATGATGTATTATTGAAACAACATTAAACTAAGATAATAAAATGTTTATCATAATTTTAACAGACAAAATTCTTACATTTGTGGGTTTCTTTGGTCGCTCGCGTAGCCATCTTGCCAGTTTTTCGTTTTTCCTCATAACACTCCGTTTGGAGTGCCTCTGAAAAACCTCTGTTTGGAGGGCCATGTAGCCTTAACACTTCACCCCACCTCTCTGTCTCAACAAAAATCAGGACACCCTACCCTAGACGTGAATGCGCAAAACGGAGGGCTAAGGGTTAAGTGGTAGGGGCAAGGGGAGAAATGGGATTGAGCCAAAATAGAACAAAATTTGAAGATCAAACAAAGGAGCCACTCCAGAGCCCAGACCTTACCATTATTGAATGTGTTTACAATTTCTTGGCAATCAACTTCTAAGACTGAACTTTGGAGGTTGTGTACTATGTAATTCATTATATGAATTACATTATCTAAATTACATATGTTGTGTACTATGTAATTCATTTAAATAGTACAGCAGTGAAATAGTCATTTTTGACTTTTAAGCATATGCACTTGCTCATTCCACTGGCTGAGAAAGATTCAGTTTTCTCAGGGGAGGTCAGAGTAGTCCAGCCTCAGGGCTGACAGGGTCGGCCAAGTTCAGCACTCTGAGCCCACACACACATACTCACATATCCACAGTATCCAGCATCCCCCACATCTCCATCTGACCCAGGAGCAGGAAAAGGTCAAAAGTTCCACAGAAGTCTGGGGAGATCAAATGATCAAATAAATTTGGCTTCCTGTCCTCGTACACTGTAGTACACACTGCGCTATGCATGGCATATGTATCTGTGTATACTGCATATGTGCATACATGTAGAAGTTGACTTCAGAAGATGAGAGTCCAGGAATAGCCAGTAACAAATGTCCCTGTGCTGCTGTGAAATGGATGTGGCCAGCAGGTGCTGGAGCAGAGCCTTGGGGCTGACCTACAGCCTGAGCACAGGCCCAAGGGACAAGGGGATCGATAAGGGGGCACAGCAAGGACAACCGAACCGAACCTGCTAAATACCTCCAGTTCAGTGTCTGGCTTATGGGAGCAAAATGTTAGCCATACACAACAACACCTAGACATTTTTTATACTTTAACCCTCAAATGTCACAGTCATAACAATAACACAAACATGTTGTAATTTACATAATAATAATTAACCATTTCTCATGAAGAAAATTCAGTCAAAAGTGTAAATTCTAAACTTTATTTCACATAACATTTATGTTTATAAGTAGAAGAGGAGATATTTTATTATGGTTTGAATTTGATAAACAGTTTTGCTGTGAATACAGTATATTTTGTTGAAAGAAAACATATATATGATAATTGATATTTATCATTTCTTGTCACTGAAACAAAGAGAAATAGGCAGAAGTGCAGACTCAAACAGGTACATACAGAATGAACATCAAACATAAATGCAGTTCCTTACATATCCAGTCATGTAACTGTGTACTTAGATTTAATAATAGTACAGCAAAATGACAGTAATAACTGATTGGATTTCTAAGTGTTCTAAATTCGATGACCTTTATAATGATTAAAGCATGTTATTGAACAAAAATAGACTTCCTAGCTCTGCCACTAGTTTATTCTTATGCTAGTGGCCATGGTATGAAATTTCCTGGTAAAGTTTATTTCTGTTCAATAATGTGCTTTTATCATTTTAAAGGTCACAAAACTAAGAACTCAGACAGCCTAGACATTCATTATTATGTTCTTATTTTTTTCTTTTATTGATCTAGATGACAGCAGAGGCCATCCTGCGTCTCAGCACCGATCCGGTCCTTCCATTCAACACATTGGACATTGCACTGGACATTCAGAATAAGCTCAAAGGTAACGTGGCTGTCAGTTTAGACATTCTTAGTGTCAGGTTGTGTTCTGCTGCTTGGTTTTAGATTTTGTACGTTTTATATATTTCTGCATATAATTTCATATTTATACATTTCAGGGCTGTCAGTATTGATTATATCATGATCAAGTAATCAAGAGATCAGGTTTAACAAAGGCCAAACCATAAAGTTAAAATGCACAATCACAAATCATGCATAGCCTTTCAAATATTCCAGAATGCTTTATTAAAAAAAAACCCTGTTCACTGTAGCTGTAAAGTCCATAAAGTTTCAGGCCTTTTTTCTTCAGTAAGGTTGTTGGAATATATTTCAATGCAAAGGTATGTTTTACAAAACTGGATTTTCAGCTTCATAGGTGTGCGAGCAAGTCAACGTTTCTGAGAGTATTTTATTGCGTTTAATTACTATTTTTCATCATGGTATTTTTTTAGTAACACCTGTTTTATAAACGATTAACTGACCATTAATAGCTACGAACAAATCATTAATCAGAATTTGAAAATGTACAAATGTTTATAAATGTAGTCGTTGATGTGTGTATTTTGAATTTACTATTCATTTTTGCTTTAGAGTCAGTGTCTCTTCCGGCCCCCTGCCCCGATCCCTGCCTCAGCACCAAAGTATATTTCAAATCTTTGGGAAAACTGAAGAGAAACCAGTAGGAGAATTAAAAATATGCATAATGATCATGCAAATTGGCACCTGATCACTGCCAAATCATTGAGAATGTTTTTTTTAAACGCAGTAGTCAATTAATGTCTGTCAAGTTACACGTTACAGCCCTAATATGTTTGTGTGAACTGTGTTTTTAAAACATTATTCATCGCTATAGCATTGGTTTGTGATTTCAGATTTCAGCTAGAACGGTACATTTTCTTCATCAATATTTAGAGGAATGCAGCCCAGTTGTCATAGGGACTGGAGTGGGAGATCAGGTGTTTGGGTGCATATCGATTGCACCATAACACCTTATGAGGCAGCAGGATGACCTTGTTTTCTGCATGCATTCGATTCAAATGAGGGAGAGGTACCATTCCAAACGAGCAGGATCATGAAATGTAATTGCCTTTTGCTCCCCACAGTTTTAGCGAAAGGGAGCCTTAGATTAACTTGGGCCAAAAAGCGTCAGAAGATAAAAGTGGGGTGTACGTTTAATCGTAAGACAACTTCATCAGGAGAGACCCAAGGGTGGTAATGAGCTCCGACCTGCCCCTCTGCATTTTTAGAGACTCCATTGCTGAGACTGAATTTCTGCAGCTTCCAATAACATTAAATTATTATGCAGAAGCCCTCAGGTATCCGTTACTGTCACCTCTCATTCTGCGGAGAGAGTAACGGAGAGTGAGGGCTCCCCCCTGAGTCCGCCGTTCCCCCTCGCAGACTGCCGCCGTGTGTGCCTCTGACGTTAAATATTCATGCAGACATGGAGCAGGACAGGTGAGGTGCATAATTGCCACATAATCCTGTCTCATGAAGACAGCCTGCGAAGCCATAAAGCTGTACGGTATTAATATATCATCACCCACCCCCCATCCTCTCCATATACACATGTGCAAACATGCACAGACGCTGCTGCAGCTGCTCAGCGATACGAGAGAGAAGTGACATGGAGCCATGTACTGGATGAGAAGCTGCAATATAGTCTACAATAATTCAGAATGTGAAGTGTTGTGGCAGTCATATATAAATGTTGGATGGCTTCTTGTTTTCAGTCTGGAATGCATTGTTCTATTCTGTGCTTATGTTATTAATAGGTACGTATGATCAGAACCGGCCAAGATTGGAATCAGTAGATTTTTGCTCCAAACACACTATCAGCCAAATAATTAGTTACATTTTGGCCAGTCTGTTTTGCAATTTTATGGCAGAAATAACATGAGAAGCACGCTGTATTAGAAACTGCTGCTATACCAAAATGTTGCAGCTTTAATTATGCAAGACTCATTGTGCTAATTAGCCAGCTGCCTCTTTCTTTAAGTGTTTGACTTTATTTTATTCATGTTTTATGAATACGAGACTTATTTCTTCAAATAATATTATTTATATTGCAATTTTGGCTAATAGAAAGGACATGGAAATGTGCTAGTGTGTTTAATGTGTTTCAGAACAGTCAAATGATGAAAAATACTATGAATTGTATGAAATTTGATGCATAAGAGTCATCATGAGGGGTTCTTAAAATCACTGGCAAACTGTGACTATTAGAGGTAGACTTTCAGTGAGGGCCATACATTTCTCAGTCAAAAAATGAGAAAAAAAAGCCCACCTTTGTCAATAATGCTAATTTCTGCTAGCCAGCCAATGTGATTATTAATAATATGTTAGCAGTAAGCTAACACTGCTGTAAAAGCAATATGTTTTATCTGAAGCCTCTAAAAGACAGTAACAAAAACTGTATCTGGTATGTTGCAGCGACACAGTGACTCAGTGAAGCCCCCTGGCACAGAGGTGCCGCTGTTTTCCATTTCTAACTAATGACTGAAACCTGGTTAGACTACAGCTCGTCTAATTTATCCAGGACATCCAGAAGGAAAAGAGTGATGTTGTTCATCACAAAGTTGGTCCCAACCTTTGGAAATCAAAATGTGATTGATTCCATGGGCACTTTTCAAATTATGTTGGCAGTTAATCTTATGTGTTAGGACTTCATTTCAGCTCCTGAAGGCCTAACCAATGGGAGAGCTTACTTAGCTGTATCTGCCAAGATATCATAGAGGGGAAAAAACCTGACTGGATAATTTTACTGTTGGGTGCTTCAAGATTATAACCCTTTTGTTTCCAACCAAAGCAAATTAAATAAGTATTACTAAAATACTTGCACAGTTCAAATACGTCAAGCAATGATAATATTATTAAATAAAAAATGCACTAAAAATGAAGGTAATTCTTTTGTTCCCAGAAGTCATTAGGCTTTCCCTGATGCCACAGAACCCCCCGATGGTTCCCCACGAAATCATGCCTAAAGTGCTGGTTCAGACAAAAATCTAATTTACACATTTTTCCACTTATTTTGCTTATTTAGTTTTGCACTGGAGCTATGAGGCTAATGTAGTTACCAAGTAATGACATCCTTATAGCCACCAGTTAGAATTCCTGTATTATATTCATAAATCATCACACACTTGCTTCAAACCATTTTGACTTGTTAAGTATCTCAAATAGACTCGCTTATGTGCTTTATGACATACTGCAGGGGTGTCCAGTCCTATCAATATAGGGTCAGTGTGGCTGCAGGTTTTTGTTGCAACAAAGCAGAAGCACACTACTTGAGATTACTTAACAATTTGGCATGGCACAATGCTGACTATTGGCTATAAGCCATTCCATTACTTGTTTGTTACAATAGCCTTGTAGCTCTAGCACAAAACTAAAGAAGCACACATGCCTTGGCTGACTGACTACATGTGGATTGAAGGGGGGGCTTTTTTATTTGATTTTGACAAAAATATCATTTGAGGGGGGTAAGACTACTCAAGAGTTGTCTGAAATGTGATGCATAGGAATCGCCACGAGATGGTTTCTTCAAATCATCCTTAAATCATGCAGCCCCGTGACGCTGCCATGAGTTACTTCACATCAATCCCTTTTTCATTATACGCCCAGCGGTCATGCTTTCTTAGCCAAGACTAAGGTGTCCATACCGCCTGATGCAGTGATTGAGATGGAATGACTGCCTCACTGAGCTAATGCTTTTAGCTCGCAACCTCAAACAGGTTGAATTAAATGCACCAGAGCCTTTGTTAAAAATAAATATGTGGGATGGAAAGCACGATAGATAAATAATTCCTGGCAGCTGGGCCGTCTCCATCTCCCTTTCACTTTAGATATGACCGCTCGCTGCTTCAGCTGATCAAATGGTACATGAAATAGTAGTATTTATGAGCAGATCAATGAACTGTGTGCGATTAAATAGTACACATGGGTGCTTGTTGTTTTAGAGCACAGCAGCAGCTTGAAAACTGTCAGCTGAAAGAGATGTTTGGCGTTTTAGGTTGGGAAAGTATTTTCTGCCTGTACATTCATGAGTGTGTGCATGTTTTCCTGCGCAGACTCTACATTAGTAGTCATTAAAGGAATAGTCCAGTGATTTTCATCCTAATTTCTCTTTGCCACATCTTATATTTCAGTGTGTTTTCCTGTGCTTTGAATAGAACTTATCGGTTGTTCAGTAATCAGCAATAACAGTCATGACATTGTTAAGTAGAATTTAGCTTTTTTTTTCTTCCCATTTTGTGTGCATTTTGTGCTGCTATCCAATATATGAAACTTACATCTTCAGAAATTCTATTTTTGTGCTTACTAACATCTAGTCATAATGAGGTCTTTTCAGGAGTAGATTTTTACGGATTTAATGCAGTTAGACTTTCTGTTTCAGTTTCAGGTACAAATCGGATGATTTTGCATATTCATGTGTTATGTACGAAGCTGGCATGCAAGCTTAAAAGAGCAGTTTGTGGACCGTTTGCATGGTAAAACACAAAATGCACAACTCTTCCTCATGCATATGTATTTGAGAGAGAGCGGCGCCAAACGTGGGAGGACCATCCAAAAAGTGGGGGAGATATTACACATGTGGCTGATAACATATTCCAGTTTACCAAAGTTTGAGCAGCTCGTGTCAATTTTCCACCTTTTAAAACCAGGAGTAAATTTGTATTGGAGTTTAAAAGACATCTTGTTGACAGACCTCTTTTCATAAACCCAACATGCGTTTGCAGACCATGTTACTATTTCACAAACTCTATTTTCTTGTAAGAGTAATATACAAACTATAATATTCCTATAATTTTAGATACAAAAAAATCTATATTTATTGACAATTTTGTGCCAAATTATTCCAAAGTTGCTTATTGTTGAGTCAAAAAAATAGAAGCCAATGAGCAGTGGCCACACTTATATTAGAAGCTGATGGTCAGATGCTGAAGCACCTGCTCATTGACCACTGTTAAGTATGTTTTGAGTGTGGGTTTTTCAGTTCTATTA